CTGCTGCTGCTGCTGCTGCTGCTGCTGCTGTGCCTGATGCTGCGTCTTCAGCAGCGGTGGCAGCGAGGCCAGCGGAAGCAGCGGGACCAGCGGCAGCAGCAACGCCAGCAGTAGCAGCAACACCAACAGCAGCAGCAACACCAGCAGCAGCAGCAACACCAGCAGCAGCAGCAACACCAGCAGCAGCAGCAACACCAGCAGCAGCAGCAACAGCAGCAGCAGCAGCAACACCAGCAGCAGCAGCAACACCAGCAGCAGCAGCGACAACAGCAGCAGCAGCGGGACCAGGTGCAGCAGCAAATAAGTGCGTGGGGCTGACAGAGGCCCTCCCGATATCTCTGCTGAGGGAAATTGCTGCTGCGCTGCCGCTGCAGCAGCCAATCAAGACAGCAGGAGCTGGCCGCACGAAGCTGCTGCTGCTGCAGGACTTGCAGGAAGCTGCTGCCCGAAGCCCCAACGTAAAGGCATGCATTGACCGCATGCTGCAGCAGCACGAGCGCATGCAGCAGCAGCAGCAGCAGCAGCTGGCGGCAGAAAAGCAGCGAGCCCGTGAAGGCCTAACGGATGCGCTGCAGCAGCATGCTGACCCATCAGCTGCAGCAGCAGCAGCTGCTGCTGCTGCTGCAGCAGGCTGCAGCCCCGAGTACGTTTCGCCGCCGCTCACTCGCCGCGTCCCGCTGCTGCAGTACCTCGAAGAGCGCGGCAGCAGCTACACAGAAGCAGCTCGGAGCTACTTCATGGGTGCAGCGCCTCCCAGCGAAGCAGCAGCAGCAGCAGCAGCAGCAACTGCTTCGGCCCTCTCCGCCCAGAGTCTGCAGCCTGCTGCTGCTGCTGCTCCGGGTGCTGCTGCTGCTGAAGCCACTTCTGCCGCAGAAAGTTCCTCCGTCGGGCCTTCCGATTCGGACCCGAAGACCGCCTGCAACAGCAGCAGCAGCAGCAGCAGCAGCAGCAGCAGCAGCAGCAGCAGTGCAGCAGACGTGTACGTGCAGGTGCCCATTGCCGCACAGGACGAGCGGCTGCCTGCAGACTTTTTGCTGATAGACACACCAGCTAAGGCGGAAGCAGTGGAGGTGCTGCTGCGGCGGCTGATGGCCTTTCTGGAGGCAGCAGACGCGCAGCGACAGCAGCAGCAGCAGCAGCAGCAGCAGCAGCAGCAGGGGCTTAACCCTGACTGGCAGCCTGAAGCAGGGGGCTACCAGCAGCCCGAGGGCCTTATTGCCATGGGCCTTGACGTGGAAACGACGGGACTCGATCCCCACACTTCGCAGCTAAGGTGAGGCAGCTCTTTGTCTTCACTCAGCAGCAGCAGCAGCAGCAGCAGCAGCAGCAGCAGCAGCGGGGAGCAGCAGGCGTTGAGTGTGCTGCAGGCTGGTCCAAGTGGCGCTGCCCGAGCTGCCCTGCCTGCTGTATGATATGTTCAAGCTGCCTGCTGCTGCTCTGCAAGGGCTGCTGCTGCTGCTGCAGTCTCCACTGGTGACTAAAGTGATGCACCACGCAAAGTTCGACTTGAGCTTCCTTTCCCACTTCCTCCTCACCCTCCAGCAGCAGCAGCAGCAGCAGCAGCAGCAGCAGCAGCAGCAGCAGCAGCAGCAGGAGGCGCGCAGCTCCGGGGCCGCAGGGTCTGCCAGCAGCTGCGCGGGCCCCGGCAGCAGCACCGCCAGCGCCACGAACAGTAGCGACGAGAGCAGCAACAGCGGCAGCAGCACGGACAGCAGCAGCACGGACAGCAGCAGCACGGACAGCAGCAGCACGGACAGCAGCAGCAGCAGAAGCACTGACACGAGCAGCAGCAGCCGTGACAGCACCACGAACAGCAGCAGCAGCAGCAGCGACAACAACAACAGCAACAGCGACACCACTGCACGCAGCAGCAGCAGCAGCAGCAGCAGCGACACCACCACGAGCAGCAGCAGCAGCAGCAGCAGCAGCAGCAGCAGCAGCAGGGCGAGCGCGAAGGTGGTGGCTGGGGTTTTGGGGGGCGTGAGCCCGCCAGTGTTTGACTCGCTGCTGGCGAGTCGGCTGCTGGAAGCAGCAGAAATTCAAAGAGGGTTTTCTTTGGCCCAAGTTGTGGAAAGGACTTTGGGGCTTTTTCTGGACAAACGCATGCAAAGCAGCAACTGGGACTCGCAGCAGCTCCACGAGGAACAACTCCTCTACGAAACCCTAAACCCTAAACCCTAAACCCTAAACCCTAGGGCCTACAGTTTAGAGGCCAGCGACTGGGTTCAGCACCCGCTGAAGGATGAGTAGCTGCCATGCACATCCAGCTACCCAAACCCTAAACCCTTAACCCCAAAGCCCAGGGTTCAAACCCTAAACCCTAAACCCTAAACTCCGGTGGCCCTCAAGCACGAAACCTTTGAGTACTA